TGGACCACCCATGTAAGGCCATTTGACCATCCATGTAAGGTAGTTACATGGGTGACACTGATTGTGTCATTAAACAAACACAGACACATGAACACTCTAACGTGGTGGTAGTGCCTTCACTTATTTATACTCTAAGGGCCTCTTTAAATAACAATCAGCTTCCACAAGACATTCATGTATTATTGTTTAATAGGTACTAATCTTTTTGTGTGTGACTCTCTTAGATGTGACAATATAGACAATATAAAATGAAATATTCTTCAATTGATAATAAGTGCTTTAACAATGTTTTAGCCAAATGTGTTTTTTAAATGCTGAATTATTGTTCTCTTGAAATTATTATTCGCAATAAAGCAACTACAACATGTGTTATATTAAGCAAACACAATATGTTTAAACTGAAGTTCTTTTTACTATTGCTTCTGCACTTGGATTTTGAGACCATCTCCCTTGCCCTGTTTTAGCTTATGAAGTTAAAGGGTTTCATCTTATATCACACTGTGAAGTGTAGGGATATCTCCGTTTCAGCCCTGTGTTAGCCCTGTGAAGTGTAGGGCTATATCGATGTTAACACTGTGAAGTGTACGGCTATCTCCATGTTAGCCCTGTGAAGTGTAGGGCTATCTCGATGTTAGCCGTGTGAAGTATAGGGCTATCTCCATGTTAGCCCTGTGAAGTGTAGGGCTATCTCCATGTTAGCCCTGTGAAGTGTAGGGCTATCTCCATGTTAGCCCTGTGAAGTGTAGGGCTTTCTCCAAGTTAGCCCTGTGAAGTGTAGGGCTTTCTCCTTTTCAGCCCTGTGAAGTGTAGGGCTACCTCGATGTTAGCCCTGTGAAGTGTAGGGCTATCTCCATGTTAGCCCTGTGAAGTGTAGGGCTATCTCCATGTTAGCCCTGTGAAGTGTAGGGCTATCTCCATGTTAACCCTGTGAAGTGTAGGGCTATCTCCATGTTAACCCTATGAAGTGTAGGGCTATCTCCATGTTAGCCCTGTGAAGTGTAGGGCTATCTCCATGTTAACCCTGTGAAGTGTAGGGCTATCTCCATGTTAGCCCTGTGAAGTGTAGTGATGTTAGCTCTGAAGTGTAGGGCTACCTCGATGTTAGCCCCTGTGAAGTGTAGGGCTATCTCGATGTTAGCCCTGTGAAGTGTAGGGCTATGTCCATGTTAACCCTGTGAAGTGTAGGGCTATCTCCATGTTAGCCCTGTGAAGTGTAGGGCTATCTCCATGTTAGCCCTGTGAAGTGTAGGGCTATCTCCATGTTAGCCCTGTGAAGTGTAGGGCTATCTCCATGTTAACCCTATGAAGTGTAGGGATATCTCGATGTTAGCCCTGTGAAGTATAGGGCTATCTCCATGTTAGCCCTGTGAAGTGTAGGGCTATCTCCATGTTAGCTCTGTGAAGTGTAGGGATATCTCCATGTTAGCCCTGTGAAGTGTAGGGCTATCTCCATGTTAGCCCTGTGAAGTGTAGGGCTATCTCCATGTTAGCCCTGTGAAGTGTAGGGCTATCTCCATGTTAGCCCTGTGAAGTGTAGGGCTTTCTCCAAGTTAGCTCTGTGAAGTGTAGGGCTTTCTCCAAGTTAGCTCTGTGAAGTGTAGGGCTTTCTCCATGTTAGCCCTGTGAAGTGTAGGACTACCTCGATGTTAGCCCTGTGAAATGTAGGGCTCTCTCCAAGTGACATAGCAAACAGACAGACAGTTTATTTGCGTAATATCAGCCTAGTGGCCTATAATACAGTTATACAGTTGTATAAATAGATGTACAGTGGTCAACTGGATCCAGTTTTTGTTTGGAATACATTATGCAGAAATAAAGCAGTAAAATATATTACCTGACTGCTTCTGGATTTGAAAATAGATTCTAAGGTTAATGGACCTCTATACACTCTTCAAAGTTGTACCAAATATTTTTCACGCCAACATTCGAAATATTTACATTAAAAAAAGACAGTGGTTCTCGCGTTCAACTTCCAAGGCATTACATACCGTGCACAAATAGTCTGTTATGGGGATATCTTTGTTACATCTAAATTTGTTTATCTTCAGATTGTTATGGGAAATTCGAAATTTGCAGTACGCACATATTTAAGTATTTGTTTTTCAATTCAGTGATGTATGGCTCCAAGTGAAGGTCATATTTAGATTGGGAATAGAGGCTGAGAACGTTGAGCTGCAAGTATCATTATGCCAAGTTAGTTAGCACTGTCAGGGCTCCAGTTAAGGGCCGTATCAGCGTATGTATGGATAAAGAATATGCACGATACGGAAGGAAACAATTAAGAAAACGTAGCAAATCCGCACCACAGCAATGAGTCGTACAGCCTTAGAATCATTATCAGACATTAATTCATCTGAAAAGGTATTGTTTTATTGTTTATTGACCTGTTTGCACAAGAGTAACAATGTTGTGGTGCATATATGAAACGAAACACAAGATTACTGATGCACCATTAAATTCCATTCAGTGCTCTAAATGTACTGTTAGGTTTTTCCAGTACTCCTATATTGAAAAAATAAAGAGTACGTACTCTTGATGTTGAAAAATTATCTGGAGCCCTGCCTATGAAGTGTAGGGTTATCTCCTTAACAGACCTGTGAAATGTTGGACGTTCCTTATGGCACTGTGAAATGTTGGGCGTTCCTTATGGCACTGTGAAATGTTTGGCGTTCCTTATGGCACTGTGAAATGTTGGGCGTTCCTTATGGCACTGTGAAATGTATGGCCATCTCCTTTATATTCCGTGAAATGAAGGACTATCTCCTTAACAGTATTGTAAATGTATTCAACTTATTTGTTTATGCATATCAGGTTTCTCAAGATCATAGGCTGAACAATTGTTTGTTTACAACCACTTCCAGATGAATTCGCTGTAGGTTGGTGAGACAGATATGCCATCTGGGGGTGGGGCTGAACAATGTATATGCTCATGAGTGGTGTAGGTCACAGAGAAAGGTATATATTGATTGTCGCTAAATACAACAACCCCTGGGAATGTTCTTGAAATACTTACAAGGTGAAATACTATCTCAAGGTGAGACATTTCACAGTGAATTCTGAAAATTCCACATGTGTTCACTGCACAGATGCAACAGTTAGACATTTGGTGAACATGACTCCATGGTGTGGATTTTGAAGCAGTAATATTCTGGCTGAATTTCTATTGAAGGTCAATGTCACTAGACAGAAAGGGCAGTTGTAAATTGTGATCCATTGTGAACTAACTCAGCTAGAATTGGAGGCACAGAACATTCTGTTCCAAAGTTTTACTGCATAGGACATGTTTTTCCATGTTTCATCTGGTGTGTTTCTGAATGTTTCTGTTAAGTGGTTGCATGTTTCCATGTTTCATCTGGTGTGTTTCTGAATGTTTATGTCTAATGGTTGTATGTTTCCATGTTTCATCTGGTGTGTTTCTGCATATTTCTGTGAAATGGTTGCATGTTTCCATGTTTTATCTGTGGTGTTCTATGTTTCATCAGGTGTGTTTCTGCAGGTTTCTGTGAAGTGGATGCATGTTTCCATGTTTCATCTGGTGTGTTTCTGAATGTTTATGTCTAATGGTTGTATGTTTCCATGTTTCATCTGGTGTGTTTCTGCATATTTCTGTGAAATGGTTGCATGTTTCCATGTTTTATCTGTGGTGTTCTATGTTTCATCAGGTGTGTTTCTGCAGGTTTCTGTGAAGTGGATGCATGTTTCCATGTTTCATCTGGTGTGTTTCTGAATGTTTATGTCTAATGGTTGTATGTTTCCATGTTTCATCAGGTGTGTTTCTCCAGGTTTCTGTAAAGTGGTTGCACATTTCCAGTTTCATCTAATATATCTGCAAGTTTCTGTGAAGTGGTTGCATGTTTCCATGTTTCATCTGGTGTTTTTCTGCAGGTTTCTGTGAAGTGGATGCATGTTTCCATGTTTCATCTGGTGTTTTTCTGCATATTTCTGTTAAGTGGTTGCATGTTTCCATGTTTCATCAGGTGTGTTTCTGCAGATTTCTGTAAAGTGGTTGCATGTTTCCATGTTTTATCAGCTGTGTTTCTACAGGTTTCTGTAGAGTGGTTGCATGTGTCCATGTTTCATCTGGTGTTTTTCTGCAGGTTTCTGTGAAATGGTTGCATGTGTCCCATGTTTCATCAGCTGTGTTTCTGAATGTTTCTGTAAAGTGGTTGCATATGTCCATGTTTCATCTGGTGTGTTTCTGCAGGTTTCTGTTAAGTGGTTGCATGTTTCCATGTTTCATCAGGTGTTTTTCTGCAGGTTTCTGTGAAATGGTTGCATGTGTCCCATGTTTCATCAGCTGTGTTTCTGAATGTTTCTGTAAAGTGGTTGCATATGTCCATGTTTCATCAGGTGTGTTTCTGCAGGTTTCTGTTAAGTGGTTGCATGTTTCCACGTTTCATCTAGTGTGTTTCTGTAAAGTGGTCGCGTGTTTCCAAGTTTCATCTAATGTATCTGCAAGTTTCTGTGAAGTGGTTGCATGTTTCCATGTTTCATCTGGTGTGTTTCTGCAGGTTTCTGTGAAATGGTTGCATGTGTCCCATGTTTCATCTGGTGTGTTTCTGCATATTTCTGTTAAGTGGTTACCTGTTTCCATGTTTCATCAGGTGTGTTTCTGCATGTTTCTGTTAAGTGGTTGCATGTTTCCATGTTTCATCTGGTGTGTTTCTGCATATTTCTGTTAAGTGGTTGCATGTGTCCCATGTTTCATCTGGTGTGTTTCTGCATATTTCTGTTAAGTGGTTACATGTTTCCATGTTTCATCTGGTGTGTTTCTGCATATTTCCATTTTTTTCTATGGTGTTTCTGCATGTTTCTGTGAAGTGGTTTTGTGTTTCCATGTTGGTTTTCTACATGTTTCTTTCAAGTGGTTGCATGTTTCTATGTTTCATCATTGCATGTTTATGCCAAGTGGTTTTAGGTTTCCATATTTCACCTGGAGTAGTTATACATATTTCCTCAAGTGGTTGTCGGTTTCAATGTCTAGTGTTTGGATGTTTCAGCCGACAACGTGAACTCGTTGCTGGGGAGCGAGGGAGATCCCATGGTCTTTATCAGGTAAGGTGGTTTTGAATATTGTCTCACAACTTTCATACTTCAACTTTCTTATATCGTTCTATCGACTTGCACACTTGCACATCCAGATGATTTTCAAGAATCAACATTTCTAAGACTATCAACATATCTTTTATACTTACCTCTTCCATCTAATAACATGGTATCTATTATATTTCCCTGTTCCAGCTACCAACATAATACCTGTTATATTTCCCTGTTCCAGCTACCAACATGATACCTGTAATATTTCCCTGTTCCAGCTACCAACATGATACCTGTTATATATCCCTGTTCCAGCTACCAACATGATACCTGTTATATTTCCCTGTTCCAGCTACCAACATGATGACTGTTATATTATATTTCCCTGTTCCAACTACCAACATAATACCTGTTATATTTCCCTGTTCCAGCTACCAACATGATGCCTGTTATATTATTTTTCCCTGTTCCAGCTACCAACATGATACCTGTTATATTTCCCTGTTCCAATGCAGTATCAATTTATTTCCCTGTTTCAGCTACCAACATGATACCTGTAATATTTCCCTATTCCAGCTACCAACATGATTCCTGTTATATTTCCCTGTTCCAGCTACCAACATTATACCTGTTATATTTCCCTGTTCCAATGCAGTATCAACTTATTTCCCTGTTCCAGCTACCAACATGATACCTGTAATATTTCCCTGTTCCAGCTACCAACATGATACCTGTTATATTTCCCTGTTCCAATGCAGTATCAATGTATTTCCCTGTTCCAGCTACCAACATGATACCTGTTATATTTCCCTGTTCCAGCTACCAACATAATACCTGTAATATTTCCCTGTTCCAGCTACCAACATGATACCTGTTATATTTCCCTGTTCCAGCTACCAACATGATACCTGTTATATTTCCCTGTTCCAGCTACCAACATGATACCTGTTATATTTCCCTGTTCCAATGCAGTATCAATGTATTTCCCTGTTCCAGCTACCAACATGATACCTGTTATATTTCCCTGTTCCAGCTACCACAATGATACCTGTTATATTTCCCTGTTCCAGCTACCAACATGATACCTGTTATATTATATTTCCCTGTTCCAGCTACCAACATGATACCTGTTATATTTCCCTGTTCCAGCTACCAACATGATGCCTGTTATATTTCCCTGTTCCAGCTACCAACATGATGCCTGTTATATTTCCCTGTTCCAGCTACCAACATGATACCTGTTATATTTCCCTATTCCAGCTACCAACATGATGCCTGTTATATTTCCCTGTTCCAGCTACCAACATGATGCCTGTTATATTTCCCTGTTCCAGCTACCAACATAATACCTGTTATATTTCCCTGTTCCAGCTACCAACATGATGCCTGTTATATTTCCCTGTTCCAGCTACCAACATAATACTTGTTATATTTCCCTGTTCCAGCTACCAACATGATTCCTGTTATATTTCCCTGTTCCGGCTACCAACATAATACCTGTTATATTTCCCTGTTCCAGCTACCAACATGATTCCTGTTATATTTCCCTGTTCCAGCTACCAACATGATTCCTGTTATATTTCCCTGTTCCAGCTACCAACATGATTCCTGTTATATTTCCCTGTTCCAGCTACCAACATGATACCTGTAATATTTCCCTGTTCCAGCTACCAACATGATGCCTGTTATATTTCCCTGTTCCAGCTACCAACATGATGCCTGTTATATTTCCCTGTTCCAGCTACCAACATGATGCCTGTTATATTTCCCTGTTCCAGCTACCAACATGATACCTGTTATATTTCCCTGTTCCAGCTACCAGTGGGACATGCAGAGCAAGGTGGAGGAGATTCAGATGTACCTGGAACGGGCAGGTCTCGTGTGTTGGGCAGATATCAGCGTGAACCTACCTCGCGGTCACAGCAGTCGCAGCACAAGAAGCAGCGCCACCTACACCAACTTGGATACGGGCAACGACACATTACAGGGACAGATCCAGCGGACAATGAAGTCATCAGCGGTCGTGCTCTGCTGCATCACACCAAAATATCTACAAAGTGACAACTGTGTGAAGGATCTAGGTCTGGCGGAGAACTATAACAAACCAATCATACCCCTCCTCCTCCGTTTTGTGCCCATCGAGACGGCGCCAGCTCAGGTGAAGAGGTTGCTTCTGAGACAGAGCTACATTGACTTGAGTAACGAACGACTTTACCGACAGAACATTCCTCTTGTTCTGGACAAGGTCAGGAAGGTGGTGGGGATGATGTAGCAGACGTTTTGCTGTGTGTGTTGTTACGTCTGTCAAGAGGATGGTGGAGGGGACAGTCTGATGTAAGGGAATGGTAGGAGATGTTCAGCTATGTATTCAATAGGATGGTGGAGGAGACAGTCTGACGTAAGGGAATGGTAGGAGATGTTCAGCTGTACAAGTCAATAGGATGGTGGAGGGGACAGTCTGATGTAAGGGAATGGTAGGAGATGTTCAGCTGTACAAGTCAATAGGATGGTGGAGGGGACAGTCTGATGTAAGGGAATGGTAGGAGATGTTCAGCTGTACAAGTCAATAGGATGGTGGAGGGGACAGTCTGATGTAAGGGAATGGTAGGAGATGTTCAGCTGTGCAAGTCAATGGGATGGTGGAGGGGACAGTTTGATGTAGGGGAATCGTAGGAGATGTTCAGCTGTGCAAGTCCTGTAGTGTTCACATGACCTCAAGTCTCCACAGTTTGTACTTGTGCATTTCCCAGTGTAAGATGTAGATGTGTACACATGTATATGTCACCCTGTATACAGTGAAGCCCTGTTAAACTGGATGGTACTCTTCCAGGTTAAAGTGTCTGATATAAGAAAGCTCATGGGTCGATCTTTCATCAGTATTGAGTCATATATTTGTATGTGTATATGCTATACTACTCATGAGGAGTTTAAAAAAATTCAATTCTTGGGAAATATGTTCTTTAATGTCTTTTGAGTGGTATATTTACAGAGTTATATTTTGCAACAAAACACTGGGGACATTTTATTCCAGATTCAGTGGGTCTCACTGGGTTTTTCTGTTGACAAAGAAGGATAACACATAATGACTCGTGATGATTCTGTTTTTAGTCAAGTCTTCTGACACTGTGTTAACTGCCAAACAGAAGATGATAAAGCTCTGTAAATATGTGTGTGGCTTGTCTCTCCGCTGGTACTCCTAGCTCCTGTGATGGACTGTACATCCTGTATATTGTGTATATATGAGTCAGCATACGGTTGATGGGACATCTCCACACCACATCTTGTGATGCGATCTGTGTTCACATCTGTGTAGTCGATATGATTTGTTTTGACTGTTATGTTGTTTCAAAGTGAGAAGTGAAAACAGTTACATGTATTTGTGGCAAGAGGATTTTGTTACTGTTTTACGGGTATTGCTTAGCTCAAAACTGAAATGCAAATTTTCTGCAAATGATATAGTGCACAATATGTTAAGCTGCAAGACAATGTACATCAGTCTATGTATGTATATGAGAAGGCAGGCTTAAATAACACCGAATACATGGCAACATATTTGATAATGTCTGAAAAGAAAACAATAAAAAAAATACAACATCAAATACTTCTATATTTAATTCCTGACACATGCACTGTGGGATATATGTCCTGAAAGCAAATTGACGGTTACCTGTGGTTGTGAAATACATTGTGAAGATATATCCTGTGTTGAGATATATTGTAAGGATATATCCTGTGCTGAGAAATATTGTGACGATATATCCAATGTTGAGATAACTGTGATGATATATCCTGTGTTGAGATAACTGTGATGATATATCCTGTGGTGACATACATTTTGAGGATATATCCTGTGAAGAGATACATTGTGAGGATATATCCCATGTTGAGATAACTGTGAGGATATATCCTGTGTTGAGATAACTGTGAGGATATATTCCATGTTGAGATAATTGTGATGATATATCCTGTGGTGACATACATTTTGAGGATATATCCTGTGAAGAGATACATTGTGAGGATATACACCGTGTGGAGATACATTGTGAGGATATATCCTGTGTTAAAGTGTCCTCTGAAATTATTGAAGGGTCCACCCTGTGAGATACATTGGGTGGTTATATCCTGTGTGGAGATACATTGATGGGATTATATCCTGTGTGGATGTGTCGCCTGAACGTATTGAACATTCACCATGTGGGCGGTGAATACGTTTTGGGGATGTCCTCTTGAAGCTTAGAAGATAAATATAACTTCTGTGAATATTTTAGGACCCCTCGTAAACTGACAGTGATATCCTGTATGTTCATATTTAACTCAACTAACCAAGATGGCTATGAGAGTGTAAGTGTTCATTATTGTCTGGCTTCTCTGACTTGAGAACCAGTGACAGGGCTGAGCAGATACACGGAATCTGTGGGCATGTACATCCATTGAAATTCCGTTTCACAAGACTAGTCCAAAGACTAGGTTAATTTTATTCCTCAGAGTCCTGCTTGAACAACACACAAATGGTGACTACATTTTGTAGATTCAGATCTAATCTGAAACGAGAGCTGGTACAGAATCATAGTCCTCAATGGGTACCAGTCAAGGGACTACAATCCCTGTACTAACTTGTACTAACTTCTAACTTGTACTAAGCAAAGTTTAGACTAAGCAGACAAGCAGGAATTTGAAAGGCTGGTGTATTTCACACCATGCCTGTGGCTATGAGGAGCAATATGTAAGCTGAATGTGTGTGTAGGTATGCCATGTTCCTGTTGAAGTCGTGCAGGGATTATCTGGTCTTGGTATGGGGATATTCTACTTACAGCATGTACATTGTACCATACTATTATGTTAGCATGTTAGGACAAGAATAAATATGTTGGTAAATTTAAAATATATTATGATCAGTACTTCATATCAGATGTTAAATATGTTGGTAAATTTAGAACATTTTACATTGAAAGAAGGCCCACTTCAACTCAGTGTATATTTAGGAGAATGTTAATGTTTTGTGGCACAGTACAGGGGAAGATGAAGCGGAGCCTCTTGGACATACGTTAAATCAAATATGTTGTCACAACTGAGCAATATTATCAATAAATTGTCTGGAAATATCCATAATATCATACTTATTTCGTTGTGTTAAATATATTTGTTCGCCCTTTCTATGACCCCCCACTGGACTATGGCACACTCAGATTGCTGTTATAACACAGTTATAACTGCGTTGAGACTCCTGGTGGACACGGCTTTGGCACATAACTCCAGGACACCCCCTTGAGACACCACAAGGAAATGCTTTGGAGACACTTCAACAACGCCAGACCTAACTATTTACAGAACAACGCCATCGAAACATTGCGGCTTTGGGAAATCTTGGGCTGGAGATCCCCGTTACAAATCTGCAAGAATTGACGCATTCACTCCAGATGGAATGAATGGCTGAGGGTTCTGAGGATTCTGAAGAATTCAACGCTTGGTTTCCAGCGAACGCTTGAACGGCTAGGCTAAATATACAGCAAAATCACGGCAGGGAAATACCAGAAATCTTCTCAACTTAGAAACGGATAATAATACTGATAACTTTGTTGACGACGCAAATCCATCAACGTCTCCTGACCCTAATTTTGCGCTAACAGAGGATATGCTGGACTCTCCTATTAGTAGGGACGAGATTCTGGACAGCATTAAATGCTTAAAACCCAATAAATCACCAGGTATTGATGACGTAATACCCGAGTTAATTAAGAATTCGGCAGATATTTTAGCACCATATTTAGAATTAGTATTCAATATAATTTTAGAAAACGGTAGTTTTCCAACTTGTTGGACAATCGGCATTATTGTCCCGCTCCATAAACAAGGAAGTATCGATAATCCAAATAACTATAGAGGCATTACTCTTTTGAGTATTTTTAATAAGGTTTTCACTTCTATCATTAACAGAAGATTAGTAACTTGGGGAGAGACATTGAATAAAATAAATGAATCTCAGGCAGGTTTTAGACATGGATATACGACTACTGACAATATGTTTATATTACAAAGTATTATACAGAGATACCTCAACATCAAAGGTGGTGAACTCTATACACCTTTCGTTGATTTCGAAAAAGCATTTGATTCAGTTGATAGACAAAAGCTATGGTCTATTTTTAATACCCATGGTCTAAGTCCTAAAATGAAAAAAATATTCATAATATGTATGAAAATGTTAAAGCTTGTGTTAAGAATAACAATGAATTCTCAGATTCGTTTGAACTACAAATCGGGGTAAGACAAGGCTGTATACTTAGCCCATTTCTATTCTCATTTTTCATAAATGAATTAGCAACCCAAATTGAAAACAATTGTGAGTATGGAATACAGTTACACCCTGACCTAGTACATATTTTTCTTCTGCTTTTTGCAGACGATATCGTGCTATTCTCAAGCACTGTTGCAGGTTTACAAAGACTTATACAAGAACTTGAGAATTATTGTGACCAGTACAAATTAGCTGTAAATAGAAATAAAACTAAAGTAGTAGTTTTTAAAAAAGGGGGACGTTTATAAAAAAACGAGAAATGGTTGTATAAAGGTGAAGAATTAGAATGCACCAGTTCGTACAAATATTTGGGAATGTTCTTTAGTAATTGTTTATCTTGGACAACACATGTTAATTACGCTTGTTTGCAAGCACAAAAGGTCATGATAGGTATCTTTAAACAATTAAATGTACTTGGTGACATAAATATAAGTTCATACTTTAAAATATTTGATTCCAAAGTTAAGCCAATTCTATTGTATGGAGCCGAAATATGGGGTTTGAATTATTACAGTGATATTGAAAGAGTTCAATTGAAAACATGTAAAAGATTTCTTGGTGTTAAATCCAATACGATGAATACAATGGTGTATGGAGAATGTGGTAAATACCCGATGCACTTATTTACAAATATCAGAGTTATAAAATACTGGTTAAAATTACTGAAGATGCCTTCTTATAGGCTACCAAAGAAATGTTACAATATGATGATGATATTCGATAAAAATGGACACACAAATTGGGTTTCTGCTGTTAGACATTTTCTAGTCTCGAAAGGGTTTGGTTTTGTATGGAACGATCAGTATGTTGATTCTGAGGGTAAGTTTATTTTAGAACTAACGCAAAGATTAAAAGATATCTATTTGCAAGAATGGTTTGAAAAGATATCACTTTCCAGTAAATGTCTGTATTATAAGATGTTTAAATGTACTTTTGACTCCGAAACTTATCTTTCATGTCTAAACGTAAAAAAGTATAGGATAGCGTTAAGCAGATTGAGATGTTCTTCACATGATTTATCTGTCGAAAGTGGAAGATTTAAAAATGTCAAAAAAGAAAATAGAACTTGCAAAATATGTGATCTT